TATATATATATATATAACCAAGTTTCATTTAGAATAATGCTTCCAGTATTCTTATTTACATAAAAAATTGTCGTGTCTGCTCATGATAACTTATCACATCAATCATGAAAATTAATTCACTTAAAAACATTAGAAGATTTTATACGCTAATAGAGCTATAGGGGACTAAGGAGCTGTTCACAGTCATTCACTAACTCTGACGAATGCGTTGTAATGATTGTTGTACCTTAGCATAAAATATTTTTCCTACATAAATTGAAATTATTCTCTTAAAATATATATACTTCAAAGCTTTTATCTTTTTTTTTGCTTCTGCCCACACTTCACACATTTAACATTCATTTCCTTTAATTAAATGTTTATAGTGCAATGTCAAACTTGCTGAGTTCACAACGGTAATTTAATACTTTTTGCTTAACAAATATTTAATACTTTTTGCTTACCAAACTGACTGATATATTAAATGTAATTTGTGCTTGTATCATATTGTGCAAGAAGCTAATTGTTACATTCTACTAATCATTTTACAAATCTCTTTAATGGTATTTTATAATAGCATAATATTTAATTTACACCATAAAATAACTATTGTAAAACAAGAAATTTAGACACTGATTTAAATAAGTTTATCTTAAAATGTATGCTAATATCATCAAATTACATTATAATAAATAAGCAACTCATTTAGCTTTAAATTCATCGTTTAGAAAACAATCAACATTGTAATAATATCAGAATAAAATAAGAAAAATAAATATTACGGGTAAATATCTTTAAATTTGGGATAGAAAAATATTTTACTGAAAAGCAATACCTTAATCACTTTTATTAATTTTATGCTGATGACAACTAAAAGAATATGGAAATTAATGTAGGAAAACTGGATTCTGCCTTGTGATTTTGCAGCCACTAAAAATGTACCAACAACAATGGAAAACTGCAACACCATTATTAGTTTTTTTGTGTGTAGTTAGATTCATTATTAGTATTGTGTCAGTTTTTGTAAATAATTTTTCTTCTGTATTTAAAGTATATCGATTTATTTCTTCAAAATAAAAATTTAGATTGTCTTATGTTTTTAAAGCATTTGTTTTTGATATCTTTTATTTAATTATTTTTCCTATTACTTTTTTTATATTATGTAGATGCATCCATCTTGTGCTACTAAATTGAAAGAATTGCTGCAAAAATGGTCTATGGAGGAATTTAAGGATGATCCTGAACTTTGGTAATATCTATAGTTTTGCTGAAATAGTTTTATGTAGTTAAAGGTTGTAAGATTTATCTTTAGTTAAAGGTTTATTTTTAATTATTATTTTCAGCTGTAATATTTTGTTACAGATCTTATCAAGAAAGATTGTCTTTTATGCTTTTAATGTATGATGTTGCTGTTTATTTGCACATTTGTCACATATTAAATAACAAAAATTCATTATATGATTTTTAAAAAAAATCTTGCTACATTACTTACATTTTGTAGTTTTAAACATTCTACTAAAATTATGATTAGGAATAAAATGTATCAAGAGCAAGAATATTATAATTTTTCGGTATTTATTAACTGTTATAAAACTGCTTTAAATAAATTATTTGAGATACAGATTTTTAATTTAACTAGGTGTGTGCAACTTTTTTCAAACAAGGATTATGGAAAAAAAGTTAAACTCCACAATTTAATGACAAAGCACTGCAAATTGTATTTAAAATTTAAATTATGCATTTGTAAAGATTAAAAAAAAAAATTCAATTTAAAAATTAAAATAGTTAGACATGTTTCTTTATTAAATGAAGTTCAAATATTGCAGACTTCTAATTTTTGCCTATAAATAATTTTTTTTTATATAAATTAATTACTCTAATCTTGTGCTTCTGAATAAATACTTGATGTATGTTTTGTATTTTATTTTTGGTTTTTTCTTAGGATTTATTGAAACCAGTTTAAGAAATTACGTTTTCCTGCACAAATTATGTAATGTTTCAGATTATTATTTTTTCAGAAATCAGAGAGCACAGATAAACCACTGGTTGTGAATCCTATATTTAAATATTGAACACATTAACCTCATTATAAATATATTAAATTTTACATTTTAAATTTATTTTATTTTTATTTATTTATTTATTAGACAGGAAAGATATTTTTAAGACTTGTTAAAGGGTAATAATAATAATTTACTTTGACTGATACATACAACAGATGTCTAAATGCAATATTAAAAAATCTCTAAAAATTATTAAATTTCTGCAGTAAATTATTTCAACATATGTCACAATTAAGGCACCGTAAATTTTGAGTAAAAAAAAAAAGAAATAAATACTAGTTTTATATAAGTTTGCATTTTCTTTTAAGTGCTAAACATTCACACACTTATTTTAAAACTGAGTCTGTTAAACATTTTTAGCAGTTATAATTTAAAATATTGGATAAGTGTACTAATATATTTGTACTTTTTCAGCATTATTCCGGCATTATATTACAAGCTTAAGAGTGAAGGTGTGGAATTTCCATCACTAGTACGTGTACTAAGTTATTAATTTTTTTTTTATCATAATGTATTTTTCCTAATTTTGGTTTGTTTTCATAATTCTGATATAATTTCTAACATTTTTTTTTTATATTTATTGTTTTGTTAAACTTTATTGTTCAAAAGATGATAATTATATTTTTACATTTTCAAATATTATGTTTTATTGTAATAAAATATCATTTGCTTATTGAATTGTTTTCATATATACACATTAAAATATTTTTTAATACAAGATGTATTGAAAATAGATATGTTTTAGTAGATGTACTGTGAATATAGTTGATCTATTAAAAATCTGTTCGGGCAACAAGCTAATTTATTGTTAAAGCAAATTTTTATATTAGTGCATATTTTTTGCTTTAATATTGTGTGCACTCAATGAAATAATCTTTCCCTTCTAACAGTAACTCTCCTATTATAATGACTGACTCATAAAGTTCTATTTTGTTTTGCACCAATTAAAATGCCTAGAACTAATTATTATTTTCATTAATGTCTGAAAATAGGTTTTAGTTTTTCCATTTTTTTCAAAAATTTTAACGTCAAGAGAATTGTTAAATATTTCTGCACTTCCAAAACAAAAAAATGCTTTCTTTAAGAAGTCATTTGATAGTAAAAAATTTAAAGTTATTATTAGAAGTACTATTTCTTCTAATCTCACTACTCAATAAATTTAAATTATCTTAAATTTCCTTTGAATAAATTAAAAATAACAAGGCACTTTAATGATAATGGTTTAAGGTTATGTAATCTTGTTCATTTTATATTGTATCACATGCTAAAATCTGCATGTTTTCTTGCGTACATTCATTTGGTTTAAAAATATATATTAACTATCATTGAAGTTTTGTTTTGGAAGGGAACAGTGAATATTCAATTTAATTTTTGTTGAAAAGTTTATTTTCTCTGTCTGTGAAATATTGAACCCAATTGGTCAAAAATCTAGTTTTTTACTTGATATTGTAGTGTATGAATTATGGATTATACTTTTTTTTATTAAACCTCAAAACACCTGTGCGTTTTTTTTTTCTTCTTTCAAATACACAAGAATTTAGTTTTAGGCATAGCGCTAGTTCTCTAAATGTCATTGCTAAAGTTTGGGAAGTTCTACTTTATATTAAAATAATAATAATAAAAAGTTATAGATGATTTTTATATTATTATTTTACCAGTTTATGTAGTTTTGAAACTAATTTTGCATTTGCATTTTGTCAGAATATATAAAATTTTAGTTAAGAGTAAATATTTATTTATTTATTTAATTTTGCACAGTTCAATATTATAATCTCCAGCCAATGTTTGCTTCTATTTGAATAATATATTGAGTATTGTCTGAGTTAGGGAACAAAAGATTTAAAGGAAATATATATTTGTTAATTTTTTTAATGTTGCCTTTTTTTTTAAGGAGAAAGAAAAGAAAATTGCCGCACCTATTTGTAATGATCCCAATGCCGTTAGTAGTCAAGAAGAAGAAAATGACATCATTAGAGGTACATAATCTCTGATACTTTTATAGTTTAAAAGGTTAGTTTTGAAGAAGTATTATAATAACGTATGAGTTACTGTTTTGTGCATAATTTTATTTAAATTTTTCATCCAGTTAAGCACAAATTAATTCAGCCAAAGTTTAATTAAATACATATGATTGAATTATTTTGTTAGTAATTCATTTAAAGTGGGAAAAATTTAGTATCATATGTTCAAAAATTTAAATAAGAGTAGATCAATTGTGCCTTAAATTACAAAACCTTGATCAATTGTTTCTAAGGGGACCATTCGTTGTGAAGGATACTTACAGTAAAGTAACCAACATATATGTATGTAAGTGGAAAAGTATGATAAAATATTAAATAATGACTTGAAAATGTATGAAAAGTAATAAAGGAGTAATAGATTTAAATTTACAATAAATATAAAAAAATTATTTAGATTATGTACTTCATATAGAATATTTACAATGCAAAAGAAAGGTAAATAAACACATTCATTTAAAATGCATTTAAATTTTAGGTAAAATATGCTATAGATACAAACTATATATTTTTAACATTTGTAACAGATTGCTGTTTATTTTCGTTAAGTTCATATGGATACAGAAAATTCTTCATTGTTTCTTAAGCTTCGAGACCTCCCACTAATGTTTTCACTTGTTGTGGTTCCAATTTACCTTTTTCATCGGTATGACTTTACATTTCTTCAGCTTCTGTAACTATTTCTTGAGTTGTCAACTCCAACAATCCTCAATATTTTCATCAATTGATGCATGAACATCAAATAAGCTATTTTAGGAATTTTCCTCAAAATTTAACATCATTAGTTTCAAAACAAAATAACTTCTATAATTTTTTTCGGAATGATATCTGTGGGAATCTGCTTGTTTGAAAAATGATCCATGCAGGTGTTAACATAATAAGAATAGCATTTGAATCTGGACAGTTTAAAAAAAGACAATGTATGCGGGAAAATGAAAGATGCGGGAACAATCTATAAAAATTTATAGACTTATGTACCCTGTCGCAGAATTGCGGTGACATTGTCGCAGAACTCTACAGAGTTCTTGCGGAAAAATTTTTCTCTTGGAAAGTAAAAAATTTTGTTTTGCTTTTCTGTAGAAATTTACACGTAAATTTGAATCGCGCATTTAAATAATCACTTTTTGAAGTGCTCAATTTATGTCAATATTGTAAATTAATTTTGAATGTATTTTCAGCAGTTATTGACATTGATTTTCACGTAGCTTTTAGATATCCCAGTATATTTTAGGTGATATGGGAAATTCGAATTCCGCATTTGATAATTTACTTTTTAAGGCAATGATTCTATCGATTTTTTTTGGCAGTTATTGCTTTTGATTTCCACATAGTTTTTAAAGCCAGATATTTTTTATTACAACAATCAAATCTTGAAACGAAACAAGCATTTGAATCGATCTGTTTTTCGGTAATTACTGCTACAGATTTCATGATATTAAATTATTTTTTTATTGTGATAAGGATTTGAAAAATGCTATAAAGGAAATAATTAGTGCGCTCCCCCATCCCAACAAAATGTGAGAATATCGCCCATAATATTAGAATCAAAAAAATATTACATATTCAATTAAAAAAAATTAAATTGTTTTTTTTTGTTTAGGTAAACACAGCATTTTTTTTTTCGTTTTTTTTAACCTTAAATTAGTAACATACATCTTTGTTATTATTAAAACTATCTTGTAGAAAAATATTAGTGCTAGAGAGTTTTGTCGCAGAAAGCTTGAAAAAATTCTGCCACAGGGCTTATGTATAAATCTTTATAAAATGGCTTAACTATTTAAAAAATGTTATTACAAGAAAAAAATGAATTGAATTAGCATATTCTTATCTGTTTGTTTGATCAGGTAGACATTTTTTTAAAAACAAAATATGTATCCTTTTTTATTGTCGCGTCTTAAGAGCAAATTAGTAAGCAGTGAAAAAAAAAATCTAAGCAGAATTATAAATTTGTGTTTAATAAGCTTAATGTTTTATAAAAATATGAAGAATGTTTAAAACAAGCATATTTGAAAACATGATTTCCTTTTAAAAATTTATTTTAATAAATTGGTTTAGAATTTAAGATATTTTAATAGATTTAATAATTTCCATATTTTTACTACTTTAAAAGTTTTATATTTTTTCTGTTTATTTAGCCATTGAGATATCTTTAAAGGATACTGGTAAATATTCTGCCCCTATTGAAGAAGCAACTTCTAGACTGTCTTTATCACAGCCACAAGAGAAATCTAGACGCGAGCCTTTTAAAGTGCTTGCTCTTTATGATTTTGAAGCTGTGGAAGAAAACGAACTAACTCTAAAGGCTGGTGAAGTAATCTTAGTTACAGATAATAGGTATATTGCAATTATAATTGCTTTTAAATATAATTAATAAAAAAATAAGAGACTTTTTTATTTAATTAGATGAGATAAGATTGATTTTTTAAGAGATATACTTTTTTGTATACTTGTTTCTTTTGCATACACACACAATAAAAAATTGTGGGAAAAAAATTTCCAGCATTTTATTTAATTTATTTATTTATTTATTTTAACAAGAATTGATCTTTCTTTGGAATTGTATTTCTGCTAAAATTGACTATTTGGATGAATTAACTGGCTGTTGTATCAGTAACTAGCACTGGGCAATGTTAAGATTTTGGCATTGTGATGTATCGTCACTCTAAAATTTCAATACATCATGTTTTGTTACACTAATATTTTGCATTTGATATTGTGTTATTTTGAATTCTAGCACTTTTTAATTGATCAATTAAGTCAATTATATTCTTAAGTCAATTATAAACTCAATCCTCAGTTACCTTGCAAAAAGCGCTGTAAATTCTTCTAATTATCAATAAATTGTATTTTTGTTTTTTAAAAAATCAATAAATCACAACTGGGATATAATACATTAAAAATTAAAAAAATAAAGAATTGAATATTTTGTCCAGGAGTGGGACTTGCAACAAAAATTAGTTCACCCTTGTTTAGGTCATTCAATAAGTAATTATGAATATAAAAATCAAAATTAAAATGCACACTGAGATCATTCATAAAAATCTTTATAAACAGAAAAATAAAAAATTTACTGATGAATAGAGAAAAATTAAAAACATAGGAACAGCTGGCTTTTAACTGATAAGTATGAATTTTAGTATTGCAATGTGTTGTCAAAAAATAAAAAATCTATGTTTAAAAATATTTGCAAATTTACTCAATATTTTTTATATTTAATTAATTTATGTATTTACAGTTGCCAGTATTTTCTTTGCCCAAATAAAATTTCGAAACACTCACAATAATATCCTATTTAAATATCTATATGCATAATTGCGATATTATCCTTTTGATATCAATAATGTTCACAATATTATCCTATTCAATAATTAGAGTTGTTAATAATGACTGTGATATTATTGAACTGTATATTATTGAATATTATTATATTTGATAGATCTATGTAAATTATTGGTTGCCAATGATCTGTGTAAACTAGAATTTATAATTTTGTTCTTTGTGTTGAAACTGGGCTTCATGTTCCTTATAATTCATAAGTAATATTTTTTAAAACATTGAAATTCTTACATTTATGTGGAAGATTTCAAAAGTTATGTGTAAATCTTTTTACAATAATGGAAAAAAAAGGTGAACCATAGTTCCTCCACATCTGTACAAAACATTTAAAACAAGGAGTGACAAAAAGGTATTTTGCTAGAAATTTTTTTTTCTATATGTGTTTATTTATAAACAAATTATACCTTGCCACAATAACACTTGGATAACTCTGTTCTAGATTTTATACCTAAATTTATTATTCAATTGCAAAAAATGACTCATGGAGGTTTGTTCAAAAAATATTTAATTTTGTTAATTTACTCTTAATTTAAAAGATTAATTGTCATTAATTATTTTTTTACTGTTTAAAAGCATTTATTTTTAAGAATCTGAGTTTTAATTGCTTGTACACATTAAATTAAAAATATTGTTCTCATTCTTTTCATTAGTGATTCTAATTGGTGGAAAGGTTCTAATCAACTAAGTGAAGGCCTTTTTCCATCTAATTTCGTTTCTGAAGATGACTATTTGAAGTCGCTGGAGCCTAAAAGTAAGTTACATTTACTAATGTTCTGAAATGAATTATTAACTTGTGATCTATAAAATTTTTATGGTAAAAATTAGTTTTTTACTACTTTTTTTTCTCACTACATATGAAGAAATTATTTTTTGCATAATAATATTTTTTTTAAATTTATATTTTTGTTATTTATTTATTATTTGCTGTTATTTTATATTGAGGATAAATAACATTCTTGTTATTGTTACAATTTGTGTCTATCTTATTTTAGCACACTCATTTTTTAAAATTTTTAATTGTATATTTATTTTTTAAAAAATGTTGTATAAGATATATGTTCACCTTTATATAAAGAAAAAATGAATTTTTTTAAGTACATGTTTATTGGTTATAGTAAACATAATAATAAATCTATTTGTGTTATTTCTTTATTGACTCTATTACATAAAATTTTATTTATATAAGTTTATTTCCGTAAAAAAATTTTTTTTATAGTTTTGTTTAATAACTTTTTCCTTTCAGTTGAAGCTTCTTCAACTAGTGAAGTGGAAGATACATCAAATGATATTGTAACAGTAAATGAGGTAGGAATAATTTTTTTTGTTCATATTTTAATGAAACCATAATTGCGTACTTTGTTTTAAACTTATGTTTAAGAATGTCAAAAAGTAGTATTAAATTTTTTTTCTAATAGGTCCATTCCTACTGCATATTTTTTTTTAAATATATGCATATTGTTTTACATTAAATTATTCTCTTAAAATTTTATTTCTATTTTATTTGTTAATTTTTTTTTTTAAATTTTCTTAGAAGCTTTATGTACTTCGCTTTAAAAATTTAGACAAATTTTTCATATTTAAACAAATTAATTTTGGTATGTTAGAAATGATATAAGAGGTAAATCATTCTTCAAAAATGGCCAGCTTTGTCCAAAAAATTCTTTATCTGCTTAATTCTTATTTTATTAAAAATTCTTATTTTACTGACATACGTTTATGTTTTAAATTTTGTATATGTTTATTTTTATGCATTTTTATTTTTAAATTTGTTTTGACCCTACTCAGTCAGCTCCAATCTTTTTTTGTTTTATATATATATATATATATTATTGACATAAACATAGCACAATGTGATGATTTAACTTTTGAACTTAAAGATAGTGTAATTGAGTGTTTTTAAGTTAAAAAGCATGTTTATTTAATTGTGCAAATAAGAAGTTTTGAAATCCTTTAAATGTTTTTCTAAATATTTTCTCTTGTATAGGAAAAAATAGATCAAGTTTTGAATTGGTTGAATGATGTTGATCCTACTGAAGAACTGATTGACCCTGAAAATATGTTAAAACTTGAAAGTAAGTGTTTTCCATGCTGAAAGTTATGAATCATAATAATATTTCTGGAATAAGGGTGCCAGACATAAATAACATTTTATGTATATAAAAAAAAATATAATAATTGCATTTGAAACTTGTACAAAAAGAAAAATAAATCCAATTACAAATTTTAATTTAATATTTTATTGTAGTTACTATATTACATTCATTTATACACACACACACATATATATAATAGAGGGAAATTGAATTGTTATACAATTTTTAATTGAATAATTTTAAAAGATTTTTATTTTCTCTTTTTTGGTAATATATTTTATAGAATGTTAATGCATCAGTTAGCGATATATACCAATAATGTAAGTAAGGCTAGTATTCAAATGAAGATTATCAGCTATGTATTTGTGGAAATGTTTTCAAAAAAGAAAACTTTTTCATTCTTTATAAAATTTACTTTATTCATTCAAAAATATAGTTTTAGCATTTATACCATTGCTCAATGTTTATGGGATTTAAAAGTTTTATGCACATTTTTAAAATTTCAAAACTATCTTATTAGAATTCTCGAAATGCTTATAAATGTTAATTTTATTTTCAGAAGAGTGTTATAAAATGGCTCCACAGATTGAAGAAAATCTGCATTCAATTGACAATCGCTTAGCAATGTTAGATGCAACAAATGAAAAAATCATGGCAGCTTTTGATTTGTTCCATGACTTATCAACAGTTAACAATCAATGGGCAACTTTACCTTTAAACATGAAGTCATACACTAGTCCAATGCAAATGCCTTATACTCAAGTAATTTTTCTCCTTATAATTATTTTAAAGTTATTAATTTTAAATATGAGTTGGAAAACCATTTTTTCTGTTTATCTACCATTCCATCTATTAGTATTTTAAAATGTAATTATTTCATCCACAGAGATGCCAACAGCTCCGGACACGCCAAAATAACTAAAAAAACGGTAAATAACTACAATGTAAATTTTGCAAATATTTGACCATTTTTACTTGCTAGCATGACATAAGTACTATTAAGTGGTGAATTATATAAGCCTATGTATTATTTAGAAATAGTGGTGGATAAAAATCTACTAAATTTAATTTATTAAACCAAGAATCACAATTGATAAGCTACTACTTTAAAATATATTCAGTCAGACCTCGATATAAGGTCACTCCGCATATAAGGTCACTTTTCCGAAGTCCCGGCTCACCGAATAGGAATTCTTTGTTACAGATTATCGGATATATGGTCAAGTTTTAAAAATCGCTATTGCTTATAAGATCATTTTTATCTGAGGCGAGGGAAGCTCTTTTCTGACTAAAGCCTATTTAACTTCTTTACAAGGCAATTACTCCTCTCGAGTTCTAGGAAAATGTTGCAGCCAACGAACAAGCTACAATTTCTGAAATAGTTTCACAAGTTGTGGACACTGAAGACAATGACAGTGGTCCTGAGACTGTAGCTGTAACCCAAGTGGAAGTCTTCAATGCAATAAATGTCAAACGAAATTTTTTTTACAAACCATGAGGGAGCTGAGAAACATTTTGAGAAGTTACAAAATCTATAAAACATTGGCAGAAAAATGAGACCAAAAACGAGACACACCTGCATAAATGATTATTTTAAATAAGGTAAGATGTAATGAATGTATGTACACTTTGAGGAAATTTGTAAACAACTTTATTTTAAATTAATTTTTTTTTTAAAATCTAACTTTCTTTAATTCTTTACTAATTCTGTTAAAATTTATTGACTTAAATATTTAATTCATGGCTGATCATTTTCGTTCGTATTACCATTTTTAAAAAATCTTAATGTGTACTATTTACGTGCTTAGTTACGAACTGCTAATGAATCGGTTAAAAGGTCACCCCGCTTATAAGGTCACTTTTGCAATGTCCCTTAGGGTGACCTTATGTCAAGGTCTGACTGTATTTGCTGTCCGGAGCAAGTTGACATCTCTGCATCCACTGCCACTGATATTTTTAATATGAAATTTTCATTTCATTCCATTGCCTAATGTATTTAATTTTCATTTTATTTTTGTGATTCTCTAAAACTTTTGCATTATAAACCACACAAAATAAGATAAATATAATGTTCAATAAATTTTCTGTTCTTATTTTGTATCATTCTTTTTATTTATTTTTTCTAGCACTTAATATCATCTGAGTTAATAGATATTTTAAATTGTAGTTATACTAGTTATAAACTTGCATCTCTGCAACTAATCTAGAAAAAGAAAAAAAAAAGGCCCTGCTATGTAAATCAAGAAAAGCGAAATATTTTTTTATCCTATTGCAGTAGACTTTTGTTTACGAGGATCCTTGAGAATTGCTATGCCACAGAAAAGTAAATATCCTAAATAATTTAATTAAATAAATAAAAAAAATTTTGACTCTAATTCAGTAGGAAGGGTATTAAAAAAAAGCAGTCTTCCTGCATATTCTCATATTCCACTGTTGCCTTATTTTTCCATCTCTGACTATCTGTATCCCTGATAATACAATCCTAGTTACTATACTAGTTCTTACTCAATTCATTTTTAAATTAATATTTAGTAACCTTGTAATCTTTTTTTTTTATTTTAACAGCATGCTTTTCCTCCGTCAATGTCAACCTCAGAATCAAAAATGCCTTCTCAGAATGCCATCTTGTCGCAGCCCTCAGTTTCCAGCAATATTCCTCCTGAGGTCAATAATCAGCAAAATATGAAAGCCATCAATGCTACTCAAAACCAAACTACAAATCTTCCAGCCAGCATTCAGACAGTTGCTGATAATTCAGTAGTTTCTCAAACTACAGGAACTACAACAGCAGCTACTAATCCATCAGTTAGTCAAGTAATACATCCAGCTAGTATGATGAATCCTTATGCAACAGGTATCATGGGAGGAATTTTTGTACCACCTGGAATTCCATATCCCTTTCCGCCACCAAATCCACAACAAGGTAATTTTATGTTTATTATTTTATTTAAAATCTACATAACCAGCATAAGTAATTTTATAAATGTTTTACTAACTTTTATCAATAAATAAGTTAAAAAACAAAATCCCTTGCTGCTCCTTGAAAATTGAAATATTTTATTGTGGCCTTATTCCTTAAAAAGGTTGTTCATCCCTTTATGTAAGTTTTATATTTATTTTATTCGTAATCTATGCTTTCCTATCACTGGCAATTAATATAAATTTCATTCTTAAATTTGAAACTAAAATATTTTTTTATAAAATGCAATAAGTAATGATTTGTTTCAGTAAGCACATGTAAGACCATTAGTATAAAAATAAGATCAATTTAAATTAATTTTAGACTAGTTAATAGAAATATTTACCAAATTAGCTAATGGCAGCAGCTCATGACAAAAAAGTACAATTTTGAATTTAGAAAATGTGCTTCCAAAGCAAGAAGCAAAAATATGATGAAGCAAAAATAAATGACTGATTTTTTTTGAAAAATAAGTGCAACTGAACGCGTTTGAACTCTTGATGAAGCATGCATGTAAAAAAAATTTCTTTACCATTCATTGTTTAAATGATTTAAACGTAGAACAAAGAATTCTGTTGCATGTTTAAAACGTGTATACATATATGAATAAATTTCAAAACTATTTTACGCTTTTTAACCTTTTTAAATTTTTTTAGATCATGCATGATTTTTGTTATCCTTGCCACCTCATTCCATATATAATCAAGTTTCGACTGAATAATTTTTTAAAGTTGTGATTTTTTCTTGAGAAAACTGTTAAATAAAATATTATTAACTTATTTTAGTTGCTTTTTAAAAATTACATTTAAAATATTATTTAATATAAATAGAATCCTTTGTTGTTTTTCCTATTAACTTTCAATAAATTCTTTAATACTTTAAAAATATTTTTTTTATTATAATTTCTTTAAATATAATTTTATTTTGTAGGTTATATGCCTTTTCCTGGACCTTCTCAAGCTTATCTTGGCATGCCTTATGCAGTTCCACCTATGGGGCCTCATGTTCCATATCCTTATTATTATGTAAACAGGTGACATTTTATTTTGATTGTTAATGTAATTTGATATTCTAGTTAATAATATTTCAATACTAGTGTTACAGATGTTATACTCTTTTTTGTTAGTATTTATTCAGACATTAAATAAATGCTTTACTACTTATTAAAAATCATCATTTGTAACAATTAATAACACTTTGGAGCAAATTTATTATTTTTTTCCCTTCTGTTGAACAAGATTTTTTAGCCGATCTTAGATGCTTTCATAATGCTGATTTCAAATTTGCTATATTTAAGAGAAAGAGAGAGAGAATCGTCAAGCTTCTAAGTATCTTTTAAAATGGCATTTTTAGTCTATTTTTGGTTGCAACGGACAAGTCTAAACATGTTATATGTAACAAGGAGTCATGTAAATGTTGCAACAAACCTATAGACAAGCTGGGGTATATCATTAGAATTAAAATTGCATAGGAACTCATACGCCGCTAAGGGCACTTCCCCTATAGTGAGCTGTTTCCTCATGTGCTTCTCAACAGGTCATAAAAGGAAGGTACCTCAAGCCACATACGATAACCTTTTTGGGCATAGACTCCCCTTGCAGTTTCAATCATGATGCCCTTGCTTCTCTAGAAGTTTGTTGCAAGATTCACTGAACTTCCTATTATTTATTAAATTTTTAAACTTGTTCATTTTGACAACAAAAAAAAAATACTGAAAATGTCATTAAAAAACATCAGATGTGCTTTAAGTGTAAAACTGATTTTATGTTTGAAATCCTCACACCTGAATTATGCTAGATCAAGTACTTGTATGAGTGCACTAATTTAAAACGGACATTTTGCATCTTCTTGTTTTAAAAGTTATGCTCTTGTTTTTAAACTAATTATTTCATTTTACGATTTATTAAATTTTTCCTGTATTATATTCTAACTTGTTGTTTCAATTATTCCAGTCCTCAACCTCCAGTACTTCTACAGAGCAATAATTCTGAAGATCCCTCTGTTAGTCAATCTCAAGATGTTACATCGAACACTTCCACATCTGCGTCTAATGGGTTAAACATGACTTCTTTACCACCTGTATCAAATCCTAGTTATTTCAATGACTTGCAGCAAATGACACCAGTTGATTCTACTTCAGTATTGACACCTTCCAGTACAAAACAAGAGCTTCTACAGACTTCTACAACTCATGCTTCAGGGGATGGACAAGTGTCTACCAATTCTAGCAGTGGTGAAAGCTCTTAATTTATATAACCTATGTGTGAATAAAATGTTAAATGAAAGATTGTGATATCAAATCTTATACAAAATAAGGTTTTAGTTTCTGTTTTCTCTCTACCTTTGAAAAAGATACACATAGTGTCACTTGTCTAAAGTTTTTTTTCTTCTATAAACTATTTCTAAGATATGTAATATAAGAAAAAATAATCGTCCAATTTGCTTTAGTTATTAAGATAATTGTCATCAAAATTTTATATATGTTCATAGCTGCCAGCTCTTGCATTTTCTCCATTTCTTCTAGTCTAATAAAAAATTCTCTAGTTATCGTACATTTTCAAAATCCCTATCAAGCTGTATATTTTTCTCCATTTTATTGATTTATTAAAAGTAATATTATTGCCAAATAATAACTCAAACCTCATTAATAACAATGAGTTTAATACTCTTACTTTTTAAACTATCTAAAATCTTCATTATTTTTTCTCCATAATTCACCATCCTTTTAATTTATAAAAGAATGTGTTTTAACTATAAGTATCTAACATCTATAGATATTATCTTTAAATAGCCATCTAAAGTCAATTTAATATCTATTAACTAATACTCAAGTTCATTTAATGACAATCATAATTGCAATCAATTTAAATTTATGATAATTTATTTAATGTGGTTTTTGTATTTTATTGAATAAAAAAAAATCCGTAAACTTAACTGTGTCTAAAATAATACTTTAGAAAATGCACTATGTAACATTTTAATACCAATGTTACCTTTTTTGATATTTCCATTTTTATAAAAATATCTATCTGAATTTGGATGATCATTTGATTTCCGTATGAAAGTAAATCTTTTATTACAAATATTTTTTGGGCAAGTAATCAATTTAATAAATGAACACTACATCAGTTGTAATATTTGTTTAAAAATGTGGTAAAAGTTTGTCTTTCTTGTTGTTGGTCTGTTAAAAGTAAAAATTCTCTTTTCTTATATTAAAGCCAGGGCTGCTGTTAAATTTTAAGAGTAATTTTTCTGAATGCTCATTAAATAAAATACATCATTTTTACGTTAAAATACTTATTTTATTTATTATAGCCTTAAAAAAAATTTTATCCAAAAATTAAGTAATTTTTATTCATCTGTTACAACAGCATCATTTTAATCCTAACTAGTTAAATAATTTCTTTCATTAATTATATATACATATGGTTTCTAAGGTCACATATTAAATCTAGCCATTCTTTAGATATTATATTTTTATGATTTTTAACAAAGTATTTCTTTTTTTTTTAACTGTAACTTAATCTGTTTCAATTGTATTGTCCAATAGTTAATACTAGCAATAATTACCTTTTCATGTTGGCAGCTATGTGTATAAATCAAGGAAGCTTTGAAAATATTTATGTACAAAAAAAATCTCTGTGATTATTAACCCTTCCGTTGCATCCTAATTGAAGTTAAATTTATTGACTTAACTATTTACCTCTGTTATAGAAATAATTAGTTTTTTTAAAAAAAAATTTCTTTGTGGTCACTTTTTTATGTTTATTATTTAAATGAGTTTACTGAGAACCAAGTTATTATGAAATAAATAATTATAAATATTTAGCTCGCCATTTTGTATTGTGTTATTCCATGCATGTTAATTTTTTTAAGTTTCAAATTATTAAAAAAAAAATATTAGGTTCAATTCAATAGTTTGTATTGTCTTTTGTTTAGTTAAAACTAAAATATTTCAACTATTCTACCACTGATTTGTGTTACCTTAAAAACCTTATTGATTTTTTGTTAAACCTTCCTGTACTAAATTTTGGCTAAATTGGAAAATAATAACTGGATGAAAGTGTATCAACTTCAATAATTTATTTTTTCTGGTAGAGGCTTTTTTCTATATAGTGAACTCTTGTGGTTGTACAGACATGATACCCTATGTGCTTATAAATTAAACAAATAATAATTGTATTATATTGTGTATATAATGTAAAAAAGTTTTATTAGTGTTATTAATAGTTCTATGAAATTTAAAATTTTTTAAGACATTGCTAAAATATGAATGTTGATGTTAAAATAAGAATTTATTTATTGTTAGAGTTTATACTTATTTACAAATAATTAAGATGTTATTGAGAAATCATCATCAACATGATTTCATCTTTCTTTTTTTTTTCTGAAATCAATATATTTTAAAACTATTGTTAAAATTTTAAAACTGAATATAAGATATCTAATATAAACAATTTTTATTTAGAATTATAACTTTGTTAACATTATTAAATATACATATGTCAGTCTTTTTATATATTTCTATGCATGAAAGTATTGACGGCAAAATATGGATTTTTATTAAAAATGTTATATTTCTTTAATATGAAAATATGTCGTATTTAAATTTCATTTGTAACTTTTTAACGTGTATTATTCTATTCAGTATATTTATTATTAATTCTTTTCTTTATATTTTAACGATTGAGTTTGCTAATAAAATATCCTTTCCATTTTTATTTTCTAAAGGAGTATTTTTGTTTACTAATGAATTTAAAATGATTTATGGAAAATTTATGATGTATTACATTTTACCTATTTGGTTGAGTGGAGAACAACTCTAAAATTTCAAATACAGTATAAGATCCCACATCCAAATGCCCTTTTCTAAAAAAATCTTTTTTTTTCAGAGCACTTTTGTATAATTTAAAATAAAAACAAATTTCAAATCCTTTTGCCGTTTTACAAAGTGAAGAATTTAAAGAAGTAATGCAACATGGTCTAAGTTTTCAGAAAAAGAATGTAGCAAGAAAATAAATAAATTAATTAAGGAGAGTTTAAAAAGATTTGGAGGACATTCACTTTATGGAAAACCTTTTTTCTATTTATTGCGAGAGCTGGAAAAAAATCTTTCCTACTGAACCATTTCAAACCAGATGGTATTGTAAATTTTATACAGGTCAATAGATCAATAAACTTACACCGAGTAATTATATAGTAATCATAAGCATAAAACATCCATTATCTCAATAGAATTTAAAAGAAAGAGGTAGTTTCAATGGATAGCTACAAACGACATAGTATATGGCCTAATAGATTTCACATTAAAATAATAATAGTGTAAGATTATAGCGTCTAAGAAAATAGGGAAAAGATACAAATTTAATAACAGAATTGGAAAAAAAGTATATAAAATATGGCGAGTTTTATGATGTTTAATTGATTACACCATTAAAATTTAGTACATATATAGTTTTATAAGCTTATAATAGCTAACATCAAAAGAATTAACAATAAAATATATTTGTAAATGTAGTTATAAACAAAACCTTATGTTTGATTATGATCTACAATGATTAAGGTGCATTTAAATTACTGGCTAAGTGGATTTACTATAGGAAATTTTTATTTACCTGTAAGACCAGACTTAGATAAAATGAAAAACTTTCTGCGAAACACAAAGTCTCAATTAAAAAACTTTTTGCGAGCAATCTATTAACTCTTCTAACTAATTTCAATTCATTCGTCGCCACCTCATTCTAGCGAAAATTGTTTGAAAATTACAGATTTTTTTTTAAAAAAAAGTTCTAACTTTTGCAAAACTCTTAATTTTTGTACAACAAAAATGGGTTTGACAAAAGAACTGAAAATAACAATCCAAGAAAGTTATGTGCATGAACACTTTTGAAATAATTGAAAAAATACCTAAAATTTGAGCAAGAAAGAAGTTTGTTTAGGAAGCATTTATGCATAGAATGTTATCAACGTTTTAATAAAAAACATCGATTATGATATTCAAATAGTCGTGAATATAAATCTCAGTGTGTGATTTTTAAATCACGTGAATACGAATCTATATTTAATTTTCAAATTGTGTGAATACGAATCTCGATGTTCGATTTTAAAATCGCACGAATACGAATCTCGATGTTTTATTTAAAAATATCGTGAATACGAATTCAGATTTGTAATTTTTAAATCTCTTGAGTACGAATCATAAAGGTGGCTTTTAAATTGTGTAAATACGATATTTGATTAAAAAAAAAATCGTGAAAGTACGGAACCCGATACTCGATCTTGAATCGCGTAAATACGAATCGTGATGTATCACTTTAAATCATGTGAACAGGAATCGCAATGTGTGATATTATATCATGTGAATATCATTTTAAATCTCATTTGCATAGGTAGATCGGAAAAAGCGTAAAAACGAATTTGCGGAATGCCATTGCGTAATCGCGGGAAATGTGCATTGAAATAAATTTTCATATCAATATGTGTCAGATTGATGACCTGTGCTTTAGAATAAGGAAATTTGACCCTTTTTTAAATTTTTTGTTAGTAATGCTGAAATTTCCCACAACTAAGCTGAGAGATTGAGATCTACTTTTTATGTTACCCCAGTCATTTTAAGAAATGTTTAGCCCCTTGTGTATGCAAAAGAGTTAATGTTTTATGTAATATTTAATTATTAATTTATTCTTTAAGTTGGAATGCTTTATTATGCGTTACTTTAAGTTTAAAATTAAATCAAGATACTCTATAGATTCTATGTAATTGATTCTGAGAACGTTCCCGTGAATGCAGTCTTGTTGCAATGCATGTTTAACTTATCAAACCTTTCTGAAATTAGTTTGTTTTTGGATATTAACTAAGCTGTTCATGACAGTCAGCAGGGATCCATTCTTAACGATAACATTGGGCATGACCAAGTTATTTTTGAAAACTGAGGCAAGTATCGTCAGCATGTGCTGAACACCTACACAATTTAATTTAGAGGGAGATGGTACCAAGTAGCACATAATATTAGATAATATCAGGAAATCGGCAAAATCTAACGTTATCTTGCACAACTTCTAATATTAGAAAGATACAAGAGATCGCTGTTTGCTCAGCCTTATATAATATTAGATTCTATACAAACTAATATTATCTAGCGTTCGCCATAATATTATTTTGCANTTATGATTATTTTTTAGTTCTAATTTAACAAAATAAAGTAAAATTCAATTTATTATTATTTATTTTAATTTTAAATATGCTTTCTAGAATGATAAGATATATAAATACTTGTATATTTGAATAAATAAAAAATATACGATTAAAAAAAAGAAATTTTAATCTAAGGGCCCCCAAAATTTGAATGGCTTTGGGCTCCACGTACGCTTAATCCGGCACTGAGCGTACAGAACGGGGAACTGAGTGAGCAATGTATTAAATAAGATGGATTTTAATCTAAAATATGATTTTCTTTGCCTCCTCTGTTGATTACACTCCTCTTTCCAAGGGTATTTAGTTCCACTGTGGATTGATCTTAAAACACGTCTGTCAGTAGATCACAGAAGCCAATCATCACTGGAAGCGGTTACTGAGCGGGTGGTCGACCACTTTGATTAGGCATGCAAAGTGGCAGAGTGTGCGTGGTATCGGACCTAGTTAAATTGTTTTACTCTAATATGTTCGATTTCACGCTCAGGTATTCAAGCTACCAAAGCCGGACAGGTAGATAAAGAGTTCCATAGGTAGAAAGTTATGTTCATCGCTACCTGTGGACCATTTCGATCACCAATTGCCCCAGACTGGCGTGTGAATGTTTAAAAACTGCTTGTCTGATTTTCTTTTATTCCTGAGCATATTATCAAAGATCGTTCACGTTGTAAATGAAAAAACGCACAAGAATGAAACGCAGTGATGTAGTTTTAATGTATGTTCGAAGAAGGTCATATATTTTATATTTACATCCTACTTAACTTACAATAGTTACCTTACAATAATCAAGTAATGTTCAATTTCGGAGGGTGTTTTGTCCCCCAAACCCTCCGCAAAACAACGTGACTGCTGATTGGTGACGCTTTGAATGCTGATGCATGAGCGTGATCATGTGCACATTTTTGAAATCACATATGCGAGATTTTGTATGCAGTTCGAACGCTTCTTAAGATAAATTGCTCGTGCTTGCGTGAGTCACATCTAAGTGCGAATGTTTCATAAATTTGTTTCTTATGTTTCTGAATTCTATAAGCTGCCTACTAATGTCTTCTATAATCTGCGATGCACAAAGAATTCGCTTTTATTCAATTAATTCTCGTGTAAGAGGAATAGCCTCAGCTCTTGTTTTGAGTCAAACCACTCAAAATAGGGCTTAAAAAAGCACGTCTCTTACTAGTTAGGTCATCGAACTTTTTTGTAACTGTAATCGCATAGCATAACAACAGACAGAACTGAATTTGCAAGATCATCCTTAGCTGAATTTGAATAATTTTTATAAAATTAATAGGTAAAGTATATGTATAATATTCATGAAATTCAGAAATTTTTTGGGAATGTTATACAGTTAATTTAATGATTATCTAACATTTATTTAGAAACCTTAACTTTTGTGAAGTTGCTTTGTTGACAGAAAGTTTTCATATTTTGGTAAATTTTAGTAATTGTTTTTATTGACAGAATGGACCGGCTATTGAGACTTGGTGGTGGATTAGCCAGTTTGGGCCAGGTAAGAATTTTTTATTTTTCTCTCTATATTTAAAAAGATGGAAGATATCTTTGTTTTGCTGACTATTAAAACCAATACCTGACACTTTTATAGAATCAAGTCATTTTCATACTTATTTCTGTTTAGATCTTAATTTATAATAGTTTTGTAGCTTTTTAACTGGATCACTTTCGTGAATCACAATTTTCGTTTTAGTTTTAAAAAGTGGAGATTAAAGATATTAAACGAAATGTCACCTCAGACTTGAATTACAAGCAAGCGAAACGTATCAGTGTGTGAATTAAAGTTTAGCTTGCTATTATTGTTTTCTAGTAGTCTTGCCTGTAAATAACTATCACCTGTTGCTATTTTGATGTAACTATTAATATTTAGTTCCCTCAAACTACTTTTATGTTAAACCTATAGTAGGTCAGTAAAGTATAGGATGTCTAGTTATTATATGTTTATAATCAGTGTTTTCACTACAGCGCGAAAACGCGAGAATCTCGCATATTTTTTTCTTTTCTCGCATTAAAAAAATATTACCGCGAGAAATTCGCGCATTCTATAAATCAATTTCAAAATTCACCAATTTCTCGCATTTTGGAAAAAGCTTCGAATTACGCCATTTAGAATAAAATCCGTTTAACTTTTCTTCCTGGATCTTTCATTATTTTCAACATCAGCCCCATTATCTAGCCTCCTTATTTACCAGTATTGTTCAGAAACTTTTCGAACAGAACACAACCACGGAACCCCTTTCAGAATACATTTCTCTGCAACCACGTATTTACCGCAGGTAAGGTTTCTTCATGTAAGACGTTAAAATTTTTTATGCACTTATGTAAGATGGACAAATACCTTGTAAAGGCAAAATCTTCTATGATGATGCACCAAAAATATTCAAAGCTTTAAAAAATAGAAGACGTTGAAAATGTATTTTAATTAAAGAAATGATTTTTTTTCCAAGAGTTTTGTGTTTTTTTAGTTTTTAGAAATCTCACCCTGTTTTTGAGAAAGGGTGAGAAATTCTCACCCATTTTTTTTCTATGATGAAAACACTGTCAGTTTATAATCGTTTTATTGTTAGTTGAATTATTATTTATTAAATCTATCTTTAAATTATTTATTAAACCTATCTTTTCAAAAGTAGAATTACGGTTATTCTGATTTGATTCGTGACGAATCTATCATAATTTCTCTGAAGACACTGCAGAAAAGGATAAACACGTAGCCCTCCCCTATACAAGCCACACAATTTTATATTATTTTGCTACAACCTAATAAAATCCTCTGGAGCTTTGCGATTGCAGTTAGCGTGGACAGATTTTGATGCAGATATATTTCCATGGTTGACTCTGATTTAATTTTAACAAATATGAATGCATGGCCAACATACTAGAAAAGGCAATCAGAACTCGCAACTTTTTTTCGGATAACCATCTAGTTTCGGTTCTAAGAACAGAGTTCTAATAAGACTAGTTACTACAGGATAGGAACACCTAAACTTCTTTTTTGTCTTAAGGCAGAGAGTATCAAAACCAAAATGTTCGTCATAGAACAATCAACGCTCCTGCAGAACAATTAACGTTTAACTGTATGTCCTCAACCCTGTCAGACGTTATATGCTGTTAATAGTATTTGTTTCGTTATCTAGAAAGTCATTCATAATCTTATGTTAACTAATTAAGGTTCTTTTTTTGCAACTTTAGTTTGCTAAGTAAAATTATTTGTCATTTGAAAAGAATAGTTGCATAGATTGTGAGAGTTGTTTATTGTTGACGTTGCCCTCTAAATGTTTGTTACTATCAAAAGTCTTGTTGCAGAACCTTAAAAGTAATTTAGCTTTTAAGTTTGTTTCAAATCACTGTGTGAGACTTGTATATCATGTGAAATTGAATGGGTGGGAATCTTGGTGATGTTTGCATTATCATTTTTCTTTTGCTAAATTTTCTAATCATTTTTATATCTTCTGACTCCTATGAATGGCATGCATGAGCATTCATGTTCATTTTAGTCAGTCTAGTGGTTCTAGAAATGTTTGATAACTTTTGAAAATTTTCTTAATTTTGAACACCAGCCTAGTTAAAACTATGAAGTTATTAAATTAAAATTATGAAGCTATTTTTGCATCATTTTTAATTAAGAAAATAATTAAATTATATGACTAGCAAGAAAAATTATATTATACAAGTTAAAATATATTATAAAGGAAATAGTGAAATTTTCGATAAAATATTTTTTTTATGAGATGAGTAGAGATATATTTTTCTAAAACTTAATAATTATTTTGCACTTTCTTTGCAGGCACCTCCTCCCACTGATGGAGCAGTAGTTGATACTGCCGAGCAGGTGTACATATCATCTCTTGCATTGCTTAAGGTATGTTATGTAATTTTTTTCTATTAAAATAATAAACATTATGACATCATTAAAAAAGTATCTGAAATTGATGGTGTTTATTCCATGCTAAGAATTAATCTTTTTCTTACTAGTTAATTTCTTAGGATTTTTTATTTTTATAATTTAAAATTTTGTTTTAAAGTTCTTAATGAATAAATTTTATTACATATAATCTGGGGTCTGCCGAGGTAAATTTACTACCTACTGTTTAGCGGTACCTTCACAAAATACTTTTAAAAAAGCAAGTTCTCATGCAAACCCCGTTCTTGTTACAATCTATGGAAAAGAGGAGTATTTCTGCCAGCTGTCTTTTGCGAAAAGGTAGCATGTGTTTGGTCAGATAGTGCAATGTGGTAAGCCTAACAGGTTGCTCACGCCATATCAAAGTGAGTTTTTTCGCAGTGTTTTTTAAAATGAAACGACGAGGCTCTCCCTCTGTAAACTTTTCAAGAAGTCAAAATTAAAATATTATTCTAAACATTCGAATATTATCTTAAACACTATTGTAAATTTATTCTAACAGACCTTTATTTTTTATGAATTTTTTTTTTCTCTTTTAAATTTTTTTCTTTTGTATGACTTAGTCAAAAATGTTGTCATAATGAAAATAACTTTTAGTGTTAGTATTGTTAAATGCATGTTTTTATTAAATTAAAGTTGAAATTTTGCTATGGACAATGATTTTTATGAATTTTTAAATTTCGATACAATTCTATGGCCAAAATTTTACAATAGTAGAATTATTTTTGAATATATGAGGAAAAATATATGGAAATTTACCAGTCATAAATGATTTTTATTTGTAGTGACAATTTTTGAAAATTTTGTCTTACTTTAGTATATTTTTGTGTTGGTATTTTAATATAATTTTTAATTTTCACAAATTATGCCTAAATTTTCACAAAATAGGTACCTCTGAAAGAAACCTAGACTGATCCCTGATAATAAACATTTATCTTTTAGTTTCAGATTTTATAGAATTTTTGTTGTTGTTTATTTCAAAAAACTTAATTTGGTTTATGTATTATCCTAAATAAATTTCAAATTTTTTACATTTTAATGCAGATGTTAAAGCATGGGCGAGCTGGTGTTCCAATGGAAGTTATGGGTTTGATGCTTGGAGAATTTGTTGATGACTATACAGTGCGTGTAATAGATGTTTTTGCCATGCCTCAGTCTGGGACTGTAAGTATGATTTAGTTTCTATGGAAATTTTGTTGAATGTGAATTAAAGAATATATAATTTTTTCACTTCAGAGTTGATTGATTTATACTTACTATTTTGAAGTTCTAGATTTTTTATGCAATTTTTATTAGTTGCTATTTAAATAAATGTGAAGCTTTAGTGTTTGAAATTTAAAATCCATATTAATAATTATGGTTTACTTCGAATTTTTAGCAATGAAAATATTTTTTATTTGAATTATTACAAATAAAAATACATTTTAAAATAAGGCATGTTATTTAGTATAAATGTGTTTAAATGTTAAAGGGGGAAAAAAGGATAAGAGAATGGAACTGAAAAGATCCATACGAGTATCCTTTGGATTAGGGATGTAACAAATAGTGATTTTGCCAAATAAATATTCGGGCCGAAAAATAGGTCCAATGCCGGACTTTGGAGGCTGAATGGTAAATTTTTTTAAAAAAAATTTATAAATATTTTTTTTATGTAGAAATTTGTTTAGTCATTATTGATTATTATTTAGTCATTATTGGTTAGGATTGGTATTAGATTTTTTAATGAAAAGAATAAAGTCTACTAGAAATGCTTGACTTTATTTAAAACAAAAAAACAAGCCATAATTAAACAAAAAAAGTTTTAGATTTTTAAAACACAGTGTGTTAAAAAAATGATGAAATTGACTTGCTTGAATATAATTAAAAGAAAAAATCAGTATAACAAAATTCATGGTTCAGTATAAAGTAATCTAGTTTCAATTATTCGAATTTCGCTTTTCCATGTATCTTTCAGAACATAAGGTAGCAAGTTTTAGAACTTAACAAATATGTCTAAAAACTATTTCTAATGATGTATCAGGGTTACCACTCCACAGGGAGAATAGGGAAAACCTGGAAAATACAGGGAATTTAAAAATCACCTAAAATAACTGGGAAGATACAGGGAATTTTGTTTTTTTCTTTACAAACTGGGAAGATACAGGGAATTTTGTTTTTTATTTTTGTCTTTTGTTGTTGTTTATCCCAGACCAGATCTATGAACCTGTTGACCTGAAGAAAATCATTTTTGTCTTTTAAAAAAGGATGACCACTCAAAGCATAATCTATGGGATATTTAACCATGATATTTCAGCTATACAAAACTATCTCTTTTGTGATAGATTTCTTTAAGTATGTTCAGTTGTTTTTCCAGCAATTAAAACTAATAAATATAGTTAGCCCAATATAGCTCACACAAGAGCACAGTTATTGTTGTACAGGGTATAATATGTACAGGGAAAACACAGTGAATTTTTCTTTCCAGATTTGAGTGGCAACCCTGCATATAGTAAAAAGTATGATTTTAGATTATTCTTTATTAAATTTTTAAAATTCCCACCTTCTCCCCCCCAAAAAACTTTTTCAGTAAATAATTTTTCAAATAATACTTTGCTGAATATTTGGCCAAATATTCGGCTAACCGAATATTCAGTAAAAGTTCAGAGTAGGCCGAATACCTAATACTGGCCGAATATTTGTTACATCCCTACTTTGGATGTATGCTCGCCCTAGAAATAAATAACAAAAAAAAAAAAGACTTTATTTGATAAATATTTTAATTATTTTAAATTTAAAAAAAACTTTTTTATATTTAGATGAAATAGTTTATCTTTAATTGGTTATTTATCACTGATTTAATTGCTCAATAATTGCATATTTTTACTTTTCTTCTATTTTTTTGTTTGCATTCAATCTTTGATAGATTATTTTTCTGACAATTGATTGATCTGAAACAAGTTGTAGTGGTATTAAGCTAATGGACGCTTATGATTTTAAATATTGCTCCATCAATGAAATGAAATGTTATTTAGTTATATTATTTGTAAGATTATATAAGATATTAGATTTATAAGATATTAGAAATATTATTTAGTTATTTTTAGGATTTTAGCATTTTGATCAATTTAATAGTTTTAATTTCTATTTTTTATTTTTGTAAATTTATAAAAGCTTCTCTTTGAAATAATTTAAGATAGACTTATTATTTTAAATTTATTTTTTATTTTGTCTACGTCTATTAGAGTGCTAATATTTTTCTTCATTTTTCAAACATTGTTATAAGTATCGCTTTATTTAATTTAAGGCTGTAATATCTTGTAACCTGTTGAAAGATAATTTTTTTTTCTCATTTTGTAGTTGTATGGAGTATTTTTACTGCTTATAGTGTAGTTTAATTAATATTAAATTATTTTAAATGGATTTTTTTTCTTTCTTTATAAATATCTATTATAGTGCTCATATTAAAAATAATTTCTAATTTTTGCTTAATATATTTAATTAAAGATGTATTATATATCTTGTAAGATAAGAATTTTTTTATTTTGCAATTATGTAGAATATTTTATTATGCAGCTATTTTATTAAGATTAGAAATTGCATTTCATTGATACATTTTTATTATACATAACATTTTTAATCTTTATAGGGTGTAAGTGTAGAAGCTGTTGATCCAGTCTTCCAAGCAAAAATGTTAGATATGTTAAAACAAACTGGAAGGTAATTTTTTTTTTATTTATTAAAATCTATTTAAGAAACAAACAAGACTTATTTTAGTTTACATATTATTGATAATCTTTACTAATTGTTCATTTAGTAATAACTACAACTTTATTAATGAGAAAAGAAAATCATTGCTAAGTCTAAAGTGTATGTGAGCTGTTGAGGCTTGAATTATGTTTAATGAATACTTTTTTTAAAAATATTTTCTTTGTTTTAATGATATTGTAAGTAAGTTTTTTAAAAGATTAAGTAAAAGTATTAAATTGAATATGAACTGTTAAAATTTTATTTTATGAATATTTTCTTTATTTGCGAGAAATTTTGATTGTTTTGAAATTTTTTATTTATACTTGTGCCTTTCTTCCTTTTTTTAAGTTATAGAAAGTTAAAAGTTATTCTGTTATATATATTTTTTCTAGATTTGTTAAGTTTATTTTTTGACGCTACATCTTACATTGTAAAAGTATAGTTAAACTACCAATTTCATATCTCTCAAATATATAATGTTATGTGTGACTAAATCCCAATTCCATTTCTATAACTCTAAAAATCGTCTTATTTACTTTAGTTCTTATTCGAACCCGCAACCATCGGCTCCGCAGTCAGGCGCGCTAATCACTCGGCCACCTGGTCGGCCCAATGTAAAAAATAAGAGCTACATATTTTTTTTTTACACCTAACTTTTAACCGTATATCAACAAAAATTAAAAAGAGCAAATTTACATTCTTTAAAGGCCTATTCAGTTATGGGCTTGTTCTGCAAATTTTTGATTAATGACAGATAAAAATGCAGTCTTATATTTTTTGACGTTAAAAAGGATATTCTGCAAATCTTTTGCTGATTTAGCTGTTTTATGCTTTTGATGGTCTATGTCCCCTGTGTATGAGTACCCCTCCCATCTAAGTACTTTCAATGTCTGTTTATTTCACACCTGTAACTTTTTACATTTTGCACTTCAGTGGCTGGAATTCTTTTTTTTCCCCCCACCTATAATTTATGATAAAAGGAAAATAAAGAAAATCTAAATCATGTAAAGTGTAACTTATAAAACTAAGAACCAATGCTCAGTCAAACTTTGTTGTAGTGAACCTGAGACACAGTAAACACTTTGTTAAAGTGGACTTTTTTAGTTGTCCTGTCTGAATTCCCATTTAACTGATCTTATATCGTACACTTATAATGAACAGTTGAAACATTTGTAGTATGTTTAGGACTCAAATTTCATTTCCATAGATTTTTTTCCAGTATTTTAAATTTAAACTTGCAGGAGTTGAAATTAAAAATTACAGTATTCTTTCACACTGTGTCAATTTCACTCTCTCATGCTTGTAACCTTTAAAACTACAGTGTTAGATAGCAACAAATTTTTCTCCTCGCTTCCAGATTCAGAAACAAACCTTTTTTCTCCCTTTCTTCCAATTTTAAGTATAATCTTCTGACTATTACTAGTTAACCCAGTCCCTCTCTTAATTCTTGGAATCCACTTTAAGAAAGAATAACGTTTTTATTTTCAGAAACAGTTAAAATGGCTAATTCTGTAAAAAAAAATGCTATTTTAATTAAGTGTAAGGTCAAAATTATCATACTTATTAAAGATGGAACTAATCAATCTGCACTTTGCAAAGCTACATTCTTTTGTATCTAAAGTTAAAGAAAAGAACAAAATTTCAGCTCTATCTATATCGAAGTAAAATTACCAGTACCGATACTGAATCTTTTTTTTTTCTACAAAAGCTCCTGTGCTTTTTACTGATTAGCAAATTGTTGATAAGCAAATTGATGAATTCTACTTAAAATTGGATTATATTCAGTCAAAAATCACTAATTTCTTCCATAGAATTAAAATCAGTTTTTAGTTAAGTAAATATTTTTTGTTTTAATGTTTGACACATCTATTTAATTAGTTTCAAAATTTGCAAGCTATTAATGTCATATTGCAATTACTATTTCTAATAATATAACTGTTGTATACTAAAAATGTATTTTTCAAAAAATTTGGACATGGTGAACTGTTATTGGACATATAATGGACATATTGCTGGGTCCATAGAGGGTCTACTACAGCAAGACTCGACTGTGTTGTCATTTGTAGAATATGACTGTCCCTTGAAAGTCTGATTTTAATAAATGCTGATTTTATGTGCTTTAATGTCGTAACAATTCCATTTTCGGCTAATTTGTTTGTAAAAAAAGGGTTGAATTTATAATCCAATGATTTCATTAGTGTAGTGGTCACTTTATCTGTTTAAATGAATCACACTTTTAGTTTTTTTAAGCTTAAACTTAGTATTAACGATAACATTAAATTTATAAATCAGAAATCTACTTAATATTTATTTATTGCTAATGTTAGAGAGGTTTTATGTAGAATCAATTGTTTTAAGTCATAATTATCTTTGTTTTTATTTGTTTTCGTAGGAAAGGAAGTTATATGAAATATAATTATTTTTTAATATGTTATGCTAATTATGATTAATTTTTTCTTAAATCAATTTTGATATGTATTGTTATATATTTTTTTTAGACCTGAAATGGTTGTTGGCTGGTACCATTCTCATCCTGGATTTGGTTGTTGGTTGTCTGGAGTTGACATAAATACTCAACAGAGTTTTGAAGCTTTATCTGAAAGAGCAGTTGCTGTTGTCGTTGACCCTATTCAAAGTGTTAAAGGAAAGGTAAAAAAAGAAGCTTAATTCTTTAAGATTAAATTTAGGATGTTTGAACTCTTAGGGTTTGTGAAAGCCTCTGTTCTTTAGACTTATTATCATATTTAATAAATTCAGATTTAATGAAATATGTTGTAATTTATTATTTAATTAAAATTTTGATATAAAAAGTCATTGTAAGACATTTTTTTTTATAATAATAAAAATGTTATGTCTTTCATTTGCTAAATTTTAAAATAAAATTGATTAATTGTTTAGGATTTTTCATATTAAACCAATAATATCAATGAATATTAAGTAAAAATATTTTGCTTGTTTATTGAGTATTTTTATTTTATTTTAACCCATAACTTTTAGTCTTCATTAATTAATTTATAGATTTAAATGAATAGTCTATCAAAGTCTATTAATGTGAATGTTTTGTATTCATTGAATAATTTGTTTTTTCTTAGTTAAGATTTTTTTTATTAATATTCTTTTTCTCAGGGATGAGATTTTTCCCGCTTTTTAGCAGATTTCCGCTTTTTTCACTTTTATCTCTTAAATTTCAGCTTTTTTTATCAAAAATTCAGATTTTCTAAAAATTTCATTTTTTTTCCTTCAGTATTCTGCTTTTTCAGAAAATTCACCGATTTTCAAAGAGAAACAGAAAATTCAAACTACATAGCTACCAATCCTTTCTCATTTTTACTTATTTTACCTATTTTCTCCCCTTTTACACGCAGCAGATAAGATTTTCCGTATTTTTTACCGGCCCTCCGGATAGATCCGATTTTCGTAGTTCAAAGGACGCTGCTTCTGACAAAGCCTTTTAGAGGTCTCAAGCCTGGAATCTCCTAATATATCTATTATTAGTCACACGATTTTAATATCAAATCTAGCTTTTCATATTTGCATGTTGCGATTCTTATTCAAGCGATTTGAATATTGTACGTTGCGATTCTTATTTACGAGATTTAAAAATCCGATATTGTGATTCGTATTTACGTCTTTTTAAAAACTTATGTAGCGATTCGTATTCACGCAAGTTTAAAATTCAATGTGTTGATTTGCTCATGCGGTTTATAATATCAAACATTGATTTTCGTATTTATACGTGATTTTAAAATAAGGCATTGGGATTCGCATTCACGCATTCTAAAAGTTATGCATCATAATTCTTATTTATGCAATCTAAAAATTACGCATCATGATTCGTATTTACGCGATCTAAAAATTATGAATCGTGATTTGTATTTACGCGTTTTAAAAATTCTATATCCCAGTTTGTATTTTCTCATTTTCAAAATCGTATATCTAGTTTCATATTCATGTGATTTCAAAATCCATAATTGTTATTCATATTCACGCAATTTTAAGATCAACTATCGCGATTCTTGTAAGAAGTAAATTTTTTTTTAATTAGTTACTATAAAGGTGACTGTTTTTCTAACGACGATTATTAGTATATGTAAGTGTTACAACATCAGAGAAACTGGAAGGGAATATATTCAAAACTTACATTCTGTGCTTGCAAAGAAGAAAAAATAGGATTTGTCACAAGATGTTTGAAGATGGACTAACGACTAAATATAGCAAACATAAAAGATATAGCAAACAAAAGCAATCACTTAAAAAGGGATTTAATTAAAAAAAAATTTTGGGGGAAAAAGAGTTAATTAACTCATCATCAAAATTTTATTTATAATTGCTGTTATTTATGCTATAAAATGCAAAATTCTTATCAAATAAAAAACAATTATCTAAACAGTTGCTGATTGTCATGTAATTTTTCAAACTAAAATAGCAATTTTTGCATGTTAAGGAGTTAATATATATTTCTACTTCACTGTTATTGATATGTTTCAGAGGGCTGTAGTTAGATTAGACTAACAATGGATTGAATCATTATTTTCATATTATAAAGTTTTTTTTTCCAATATAATTTAAAAAGTAATATTACTGATATATTTGCTATAAATCACATAACAGTATTTATTAAAAGAAATTAAATATTAATAATATATATTCTCAGTAGTTTTAATTTGCTAAACCAGGTAGTTTTTCAAGTAGTATGTGAAGANGTGAACTGAGGAAAAATATAATTTCCAGCTTTATTTTTTCAATTGGTAATTTTTTTTTCCACTAAATGTTAAGTATCAATGTAATTGTTTTTATAATAATAGATAAGTACACAGTTGTATGTCAACGCATTATTTATTACCTTAAACTGTCTGTAATTTATTATTAAAGGGTTGCGCTTGCGTAAAATTTACTATCGTGGAAATTCAGCTTTTTTGCGTTTTGGCTAATCTTATCCCTGTTTTCTGCTGACCTTAGATTTATATTAAATACATTAATAGTCTATTTTCATGAAATTATTTACTTGCTATATTTTATTGATGATTATGTTTAATTTTCATTAAATATATCTTATAGGTAGTAATCGATGCTTTTCGTTTAATCAATCCAAATATGGTGGTCCTTGGTCAAGAACCTAGACAGACAACTTCAAATCTGGGTCATCTTTCTAAACCTTCTATACAGGTATGAAGTTATATTTTTTTTTGGTCTATATTGGAAGAAAAAAGATTTTTTTTAAAATTTGGAATACTACAAATCAGTTGTATTGAGATAAATTTATTTACAGGCTCTTATTCATGGTTTGAACAGGCATTATTATTCAATATCAATTAATTATAGGAAGAATGAACTGGAACAAAAGGTACTTTACAAACTCATATTTTTTTAACTATGAAAGCATTGTTTATGTGTTATGTTATGTCAAATTTTAAAATTAATTTTATTTTTGAAAATTGTCTATATTTGTGTATAGAATTTTTTTTATACAATTTTAAATGAAGATTTTTATAGTTTTGTGTACTTGATTAAATTATTATATTTTATTATTTATTAATAAAATATAAGTCACTCTGTATTGCTTTTTGGAGTAAGAATAGTTAAACTTCAAGTTATCAGTTAATTTGTTAAAAGGAGGCTGTTCAGATAATTTGTAATTGTTCAATAATTTGTAATTGTTCAATAATTGTAATCAATAATTTGTAAACATTTAAGTTTTAATTAATGGTATAGAAATGGATACTGTTTTAACAATCGCAAAATAATGAGAAAAAGTAACTATAAAATATTATTTTTTATAAGTTTAGTTAAAGGTTAAATGATTATCAAACAAGTTATCTTTCACTTTTAATCTTCAAAGCAAAATAAAAAAGTTAAAGATCATGTTAAATTAATTGAATAACTTATATTCGTTTGCCAGTAAATAAGTCGTTAAATTCTTAAAAATTTTTGCAGTCATCTTATAATTAATGATTTTAATTCATTTTTGTCTTGTTTGATGTTATGCATGTCATTTTGTTATGTATTGTTTCCCCTTATTTTGCTCTTAGCTTTTCTTCTTTAAAATCAATTTTGTTTGCAAACAATAAATGGACATAGTAGCATTTTTAAAATATGTTATTTCTTAAAGTGTAAAATGTTTTTAGTTGTATTTGATAAAAGCTGTTTTAGAATTATTGTAACTGCTATTAAGAGAAATTTTATTCCAAGTTAATTTGTCCTTTTTGCTATATTTTATTGTATAAGAATAGTTAACAAAACTTTGGCAATAATTTGAATCGTAAAATTTGTGCATAGATTCACAAAATATGCATGGATGGAAAAAATCAAATGCTTAGAATTGAAAAAAAAAAAGATGCATCAAACAATTTTATGTGCAGAATTAATGTTCTAAGTTTTAAATAATTATGTTTGTCTTAATGTTTTTAAATAATTTTTTTTAATTTGAATATTTTATGGAATCTTTTTAATTTGTGTTATATGGTCAGACTTAGTTCTTTAAAATAACATAAGTTACTTTTTTCCAAATCACTAATTTTTCTTTTTTTGAAAAAAAAATCTTAAATTTTTTTTTTGTTTCAACACTATTTGTAGATGCTTTTGAATCTTCACAAAAAAAGTTGGATGGATGGCTTGATGCTGCAAGATTACAACGAGCATTCTAATACAAATGAAAAGACTGTCTCCGAGATGCTAGAATTGGCTAAAGCTTATAACAAGGTAAGTGCAATTTTCTAACAAATGTACTTCATTGCCTAATTTATTTCATATATTTTTTATACTTCCCACTAAACTTAATACTTTTTAGACTATTTCTTTCTTTTTAGACTATTACTAGCTATTTTCCCACTTATAATTTCTGCGGTGCTTTCCCACTTATAATTTGTGTAAATTAATTGCTTATCTTTTTCTTGTAGTCTTTAGAAGAAGAAGACAAAATGACTCCTGAACAACTAGCTATTAAAAATGTTGGGAAACAGGTAATACTTTCGACAATGCATGTTTATAGCAATAAAAAATTTTGTGATGGACTTTGTGATTCTAAAATTTCTTTTTATTTTACAGGATCCAAAGAGGCATTTAGAAGAACATGTTGATTCTTTAATGAATTCAAATATTGTTCAGTGCTTAGGTGCTATGTTGGACACTGTTGTCTTTCAATGACATTACTAATCTCTTGTTTCTCACATTTTAATAAATTCACTATGCTACAGATATGTATGTCATTATTCATGTACTTTTTCTATAATAAACATTACATAATTGCATTACAAATTTAATTTCTATGCTATAACCTTCTCTGTACATTTGTGTTATTTTTTCTCTCTGCAATGTTTCCAAAATTAAAAGATTTCTTAGTTAAAAATTAATATGCTATTTCTTATGTCGTAACTAAAGGCAAATTTAAACTGCATTAATTTTTTCTTCTTTCTATAATAAAAATTCAAAAAAAGTAAATGCATACCTGCCAACTTTTACGCATTTGGCTTGAAATTTTATTTTTCTATTTAAAGTGGTAGTAAAATGTATGCTTTCTATATATTCCTTGCATTTATAAACTTAATTTATAATCTTTTTGATCTAGAACTATTTTTAAAAAAATTAAACATATATATCAATATGTAATGCTATTTGCTAGTCTGCATAAGTTTACTCAAAATACAGCATGTATTTCTGATTAAAATTGTAATTTAAATTCCATTTATCGTTGAAAGGATTAAAAATTGGCAGGTATTTAAATGGTTTCGCAATGATTTTTTTCTTTATTTTATGTCTTAATGATAATGGTACATCAAAATTAGGTGTTTTGTTATATATTTTGTGTTTAAGAATAAAGCATAACCGAAAAATTAATTCTACCAATTACAAAAATAATAATAAGAAAATTGCAACTTTTTTTACCGACTGTTAGAGACCATTCTGATTTTGTATAGATTTGAGTGTTTAAGTTTTAAAAAAAATGAAGTAAATAGACAATTATGTTATAATTGTATTGTGGATATTTTTTCCTCCAGAGCTTAATAAGCCCTGGATGCTATGCTGGTTGTTATTGTCACAGGCTTTATAACACATATACACCGGAAAGGTATCTTAAATATATGAACTTAATTCTGATCCTTTTATTAGCAACTCTTCATAGTATTTTTAATAACAGTTCGAAAACGATTGTGTGATTGAAAATACTTGATTTAATATCCAGAAACCAAGCTACTTTTATCTATCAAAGAAGAATGAAATTGGAGTTAAATGAGTTGAAAATTCATCAAAAAATCTGAGGAGGCAGAACCTTTTAAAACAAATCTCTATTGGTCTTTTTTTCTTTCTTTCTTGAATCAAAGTAAAATATTGCACATGAATTATGTTAGTAATATACATTCCTATATCTTATTTTTCTAATTAGTTAATTTAGTTACAGTATTGGATTTCTTGATACATTTTTCTCAAAGGCATATACCTCTGCTAAATGATAAAGCAGATTGTGTCCATTTTACTGAGGTTCTACTATATCATTGTTATGAATTATCTGTTTTGATTAATACTAGTATTTGTCTTCCCTCATTAAATTCTTTAAATAATTGTGCGGCCATTTGTAACCTTTTTGTAAGGCTATTTCCAATGTGTTTAACTTAAGATAACTAAACTTAGCATTGCTTTGTGACTAACCATTCAACTCAAGGACTGTAAACTAGACACAGGCTTAATTACATTATCAGACATGGATGCGGTAGTCTATTTTATAGTTATATTGTTTAACCTTTCCCTTATGCCTAATAAATTATCGGTGCTTAAATGGAAATTATCTTAACTTTTTTTAAAGTGAGTGATAATATTGAATTTCGATAATCTTTGAAGATGAAGTATTCTATTTAACAAAAGTAGCAAAATCAGGTGTCTGTAGCAGTAGTGTTAAGTTATGTCGAGTTTAAACCATATTCAATCCAGAAAGGATCGAGTATACTTAGTGGTATGTAAACTAAAACAAAAAATGTGAATAAAGCACAAATGATAATACATAAATGGACATACTAATGACCTTTATACACACTATTTTTTGCTTTTACCATATTCAATGTTAAGAGTCGTACTATAGAACAATTTAACAGCAATATCCGGCCTTAATTTTTATGTATTATTTTAAATGGGTTACTTGAGAGAAATTATGGACTGCGGATAAAGAGAAAATGTTTGAAGTCTGATGAAATCCTATCATAGTTAGTCATAATTCAAAAATGCTTTGTAAAAACACTGTAATTTTATGCATATTAATTGCAGATTATACTTATTATAATAATATTTTATTGAAATCTAAAGTAATAATAGCATTGCAAAAAAAGTTTCAAATGCTAGAATAATACACACCAAGTTCGTCCATAAAAAGCTAGTTCTTCAATTCACATGATTTTTTTTTGCCTCCAGGTGCACCAATAATAAATGCGAGATTCACATGGAAAGTATTCTATATATATAACAATATTTGTTCTAACAAAAAAGTACAAGTTACAAAAACATCAAAGGGGTATACAACAAGCCTTATTACATGATACATATAATGTAGGAATCACTAAATCAAAACTTTCCTTCCATTTATTTCATATATCCTCTTGGAGAGAAAGTTTGATTGCCCATTTATCTTATTGATGGGCAGTGCGCAGGATATCCCACAGGTTCCTGAAAAGAAAATCAGATGCAAATTATGGCATTTTACTTGTATGCTAAAAATATGTTCACCGCATGAGGCTGAACTAGATCAGTAAACCTTCAGCATTTCACAAATTGTGTTATCTGATTGCTAATAGCATCAAAGTACGTCCCATTTCTTTTCTGTTGCAATGAACAACTGCATTTTGCATTGGCTTGAAGATAAGTTACCTTTAAATGATGTCAGCTTGAACATCAGAAATTATTCGTCAACGCAAGTGTTTAGTGCATTTAAACATTTAATTAAATTGAAAAATTAAGTGAACCTTGCTATAAGCGACAGTTTATTTAAGGAATTTAGATTCAAAAATTCAGTAGATGAAAGTATAGTCAGAGATATATTATTACACTCAAAGAAATGATTATGCTTATGTATGAAAAATTTATATGCTTTTGATATAATTTTTTCTGGTTAAGAGGACTCTATAGTTCGTTCACCAGGAGTTGGCACTTGACTTCACCTCCTCGGAGCTCATTTCAGCGCTGACGTAAGAGGAGAAAAATCTCTGCGCTTGAAAATGAGACAACCATTAATGCGCGCCAAACGCAAATAGCGAATTTTTTTCAGTCACTTACTTCGCTTTATCATATTATACCTTTTGTTACTCTAACTAATTAAATATATTTTAAATTTAAAAACTGTAGTTTCCCAGCAAAATGTCTCAAAAAGTACAAACTATTCACTCAAAAGAGATAAATATCAAATTTATGAAATATTTAATGCTAAAAAAATGCACATGAAGATTGCGAATTAAATATTTTTGTCATACGATCTCCAAATAGCAACCTTGTTCAGGATTGTTCACATCCTTCTCCCAAAAATAGCTAAATAGTATCGTCGAATACCACCTGAGGAAGGTGGAGCCAAGTGCCAACTTCTGGTGAACGAACTGTACCCTTGCAATCTTGGATTTTTAATTTTTGTTTTGATGTGCTTATGCAGTCTACAAAATTTTGATTATGTATTATTTATAGACAGCGTAATACCCTTTAAAAAAAGGTAGAAAATAAAGGATCATAAGATTCGGAGAAAAAGATCTTGATAATTTTTAAAAATTCTAATAATTTTCCCTCAAAACTTGAAAGCAATAATACGATGCGTTTTGTGGTGTTTAGTAAATAATTTAAAGCTGCATGTTTCTTAGATTTACCCCTCCCCCCACCAAATTGAAAAATATATATAATTTTTTTAATAGTTTACAAAAGAAATAAAATATTTTAAAATTATTTAAGGGGGCATATACACCTAGGTAGGTCGGAAAAATCGATTTTTTTCCCATCTAACTGAACGTTCATCACTGTTTCAAGAATCATAATCCAAAAGATTAAAACGAAATTCGTCATAGTTTCATTGCAAACATTAATAATGTTGAAGCGCTTCAACAGGTTTAACGAAAGATTGTATAAAGGTGAAGATGGGAAACTCGTAACTAAAATCTGGCACCATGCTTGAATTATTTATGTATTTTTAATTATGAAAAAAATAAATGAGAAGACTAGCTTTAAAAACCCCAGTTTTTTTTTCAAAAAAAAAAAAAAAAAAATAAAAATAAAAAAAAAAAAAGAAATTCCCTACCAT